AAGTTACTTGATATGATTTCCTTTTTACTACTGGTAAAATGAAGTTGCATATGCCTTTTAACTTCATGTTTATAATGTAAGAAAGAACCAAAACTGTTTTTCAGAAGGCCCATTACACATAAAATTCATTTGTCTGGGAAGTATAGTATTGGTCTGAAACTGCCATATAATGAGCTGGACTGTTCCTTGCTGCTTCCCTCTTTTATCAACTCCACTGTGTGCTTCATTGTGTGGCCCATAGTACATAATTGTTTTTCATTAGTGGACATATGCCCAGGAACAATTTATTTCTTAATGTCAATCCTGATGACAAAATTTGGTCTCATATTCTATGAGACTTATATAAATTCAAGGATCACTGTACTTCAGTTTTACCTTCCACGTTTGTCAAACTTTCTTCAGTTGCCCTTATCCAAATGTACTTTTGGTAGACATTTTTCATGTTTACCTTGAAAGCTCAACTCAATCAAAGTAATTCAGATAAGAAATGTTCTTGGCATGGATAGTGATACAAGATATGAATTAAATGGGAGGGAAAAATCCTCTCCATTACGGATCTGAGCATGGATAATGGAGTTGTGATTTAGTCCATGAATATTTGTTAGAGTAAATGATGTGACCTTTAGCTCCTCTTACTGTTGAGCCAAAATGAGAATATAAATAAATAAAAATTATTTTTTCTTATCACCTTGAGAGATGTTATAAATCACTAATTTTGCATTTATGCTTATAATATCTACTTAGCTCTACAAAAGTATGCATTATTTCCTTAAACTTAAGAACTCAAAAAGCATTGAGTAAATGCACATTTTTTTTTCTCTAGACAGTTATAATCCCAATGTAGTTGTTCTTCTGACACAGGCAAGTATTATGTTTTCCCTTGTGTAGAACCTAGGAGGTAAACAACATGAAAACAGAAGGGAGTCTATTAGAGGAAAAGGGGGATGGGGGACGGGGCAGTGGAAAGGGGATAGATAGGATTAAAGTATCTTATATGCATGTACAAATATACTGCAATAAAACTAATATTCCATATAACAAAATGCACTAATGTATTTTTAAATTGAGCTTTTTGTCAGTCCCATTAAATATAATTCTTTATACTTGTCTAACAATTTGGGTGTTCATTTAATGTTAGGAACCAGCATCTTTGAGGGAATCTAGAGGTGAATGATAATCTTCCCTTTGCTTAGCTTCATTCTTTGTAATTCAAATGAAGGCCAATACTTTTATGCAATAAAAAGAAATCCATTAATTCAAACAGTATGTACATATATGATTATGCTTATATGTATAGCATGTAAGCAAGCAATTCCTAATTCACTCATCTAATTACACTGAGACCAGTAAAAAGCATTGCCCACATTGCAACAGAAGTGACTTAGATTTGATTCATTTAGAGTTTTCTGAGAACAAGATAGGTTTAAGTAATGGAATGTGTTTTTGAAGGACAAATATTTAAATATATTGGGAGATGAAATATCTTTTAGGCTTAATAAGTGCTTTTTGTTTTATAAATCCAAATTATTTTTAATTTTTTTAGTTACATGTAACATTAGGATTCATTTTGAAATATCTATAAAAGCCTTGGATAACATTTGCTCTAATCCAGTCCCCAGTACTTCCCCTTTCCCTCCCCTTCTCCATTCCCCTGGTCCCTTCCCTCTACTCTAATGATCATTTTGCTCTTGTAATTTTTACTTTTTAATTAGTGTCTTGTGGATATACGTGATGGTGAGATTCACTGTGGTGTATTCCTATATGTACATAGAAAAGTTGAGTCAGATTCATTCCACTGTTCTTCCCTATTCTATCCCTTCTCCCTCCTCCTCAATCCCCTTCATGTAGTCCACTGATCTTTATTCTATTTTTGATGGGCCCCTCATTTTCTTTTCTCTTTTTTACAGGCAAAAAGAGTAAATGACCATTGGCATTTATTGGAAGATTTGATTTTAAACATGTTCAAACAAAATGTAAAAAATCACAATACTTACATAACTTCTTCAAGTTAAGAACACTTTTCAATACATGATCTTTTTATTATTTATGTCAGTTCTTATAAGATATTGGTATTTTCTTTAATAGACTTAATAATTTGGCTCTAAGTTTCTTCCAGAAGAGCCTTTTTCAGATATGACTTCTGTATTAGTTTGTAATTGCTGCCATAACAAATACCAGAATGGGTAGCTGAAACAATAGAATTTTATTTTCTCAATTTTCTGAGTGTTAGAAAGTCTAATATCAAACCTGCTGACTCAATTGATGTCTTCTGAGTCTTTTCTCCTTGACGTGTAAATGGCTGCCTTCTTCCTGTGTCCTCATGTGGTCATGTGGTCTCTCCTTTACGTACTTATTCCTGGTGTTTGTATCCAAATTTTCTCCTCTTAAAAGGCCACCAGTAAAACTACACCAATGGCTTCAATTTTAGACCTTCAAAGAAGGCATTAGCTCTGAATATGATTTCATTTGAGGCAGTGGGTTGGGTGTAGTGCTTCACCAGTAGTTTTGGGGAATACAATTAAACTCACATAATTATTTTGTTCATATTTGGCACATGTAGGTTTTTTCACATAGATATTTGAATAAATTTCATGATTGATGAGTGAGCAAATTAGAATCTATCATGAACTAAAGATAAATATTGGCCAACTCATACCAGGTTCAATGAATTATCAAAATTTGAGTCATTATTTGGATACAAAGGACACTTTAATGACATTCTTAAAATAGTGTCTTAAGTAGGTTAATCATATCTAAAATACTTAATCATTAGTGGTATAGTATTTATAATGGAAAACACAACAGTATACAATGCATCACATTAAAACATTTTATAATTTTAGCTGGCTATGGTGGCATATGTCTATAATCCCAGCAATTCTAAAGATTAAAACAGGAGGATCAAAAATTCAAGGTCAGTCTCAGCAAATTAGTGAGACTCTTAGCAACTTAGTAAGACCCTGTCTGAAAGTAAAAGGAATAAAAATGACTGGAGATGTAGCTAATTTTATTCATTTAAGTTGGCTTATCAATCCTCGGTATCAAAAAGTATATATTTTAGAAATTTTTAAAAAATTACTTTAAGTAATCTAGAATATGAGGGTTTTATTTGGATTTGTAGAATCCTACAAATTTTTCTAATAACATTAATAAATTATAATTTTTCATCAGTAGGATCACACACTTCAGTTTACCTTTGTTTTTTGCAGCAATACATAGGTGCTCTATGAATTTAAGTCTCCATTTTCTTTCATTTATAAATGCTATAGTTCCTTTGCCCTTCCCCACCTTTATTACCATCTTTATAGGGCTATAGAAAATATACTATGTTTTGACCTTTTATAACTATACAATCTAATAAGGAAGATGGTATAGTTTATAGCTAAGGCATAAAGTTTTCTGTTTGAAGTTATTTTTTTCACAACTAATCTATGAAGCATTATGTTACATGAATCAGTGTATCTGATACATATATAAACTGTTACTAGATTTCACTAAAATAACTTAAAATATATATTAGGATAAAACCAATTTATTTGTTTGTAATAATTAAGTGTAATATTTTTAAGCTCATTGATTTAAGTTGGCTCATTTCCTGAGGGTGTCTTGCATTTCTATTTCAATGTTATGGTTTTTGTCATAACCTAATGTAATTCAAAAGGAATTGAGTAGAGAATGAAACTATAAAAAATAAGAAAATCAGTTACATTATGCTGAAAGCAATAACATTTTTATTGACACTTCTGAAGAAAATCTGAAAACTCACTTCTGACTGAGATGCATATGAGTACATGATCATTTTAATATTGTAGTAAAATGTTTATTGCCTACTGTTTACTCATGCGTGGGATTTCCTTTTTGAAGTAGTAGTAGATTAAACAGTGTAAAAAATTATGGAGATATTCAAGTTACCTAAGGATAGATGGATTTTTTTCATAACTCTAATTACATTTGCATTGTTTGAATCCCATAATAATATCTTCTAAATGAATTGATCCAAATATGCAGCATCAAGATAAGTAGAAACTTGTGAGGCTTATTTTAGATACTGGATATATTTTCCAAAATATGAGTTGTAAACACTTTTATTTTAGTTTTGATTCCATACAAAATAAAGCATTCCACATATTTTGATACCTCTATCCTTAAAGATCCAACAGCGATGAGACATTAATTCTCTTTATATAAAAAAATCATAAAAGTTTGAAATTTTAGGCTCTGAAGTGCATTATAAAGGAGTGCAAGTAAATGACATACTTTTTTGTCTTTCAAACATGCCCTGTGCATTAAAATCATTATAGTATATATTTTTGACCAAAAAGCATTTGTATTTGGTTTATGTTATACATTAAATTACTGTGTACACTTAGAAATTAGTGACATGCTGAAGGTATGAAGTTCCTATTCAGGGACTATTATAATTTTATCTCAATGTTTTTGAGATAGCACATTTCATAGTCTGTAAGAATATAGATAATTTAAATTTTATATGGTAATATTCTAATTATGCAGAATTTAAATAAGAGTCCTTTTAAAGTCTTTAATTTAATAGTCAGACTTTTATTCTTTGGAGCATTTTTTCAGACCTAAGGAATATGCAGAGTTTATATGTTCTCATTGGTGAAAATCCCCTTCATGTTTTTAGCATTGACACATAATAGTTGTACATCTTTATGGGGTATAGTATTGTTTTGGTACATATATTGTGTATTGACATTATATAATTTTATATTTATATCTTTGCTAATGTATTGTTGAGATAGTGGTATAACTGCTTCAGACTGCTTGTAAATTGCTTTTCAAGGAAAGGTGAAAGACTGAAATAATCTGAAAGGCACATTGCTTACCTAATTCAAAGCAGAAGCAGAAAGGGTGTTATTTAAAATCCACATTATACATAGGAGACTCAAAATCAAATACTTTGTCAAATCATTTATGCCATTTTTAATGAAATTCAGTTAAAAATTGTTTACTGATGTGTTCCGTCCTCTCTTCCCCAGGTACTAGGAGATCGATGGGCAAATATCTGTAGGTGGACAGAAGATCGCTGGGTTCTTTTACAAGACATTCTTCTAAAATGGCAGCGTTTTACAGAAGAACAGGTGAGTTATGTGGAAATCATGGCAGTTAAAGACATGGAGAGGTATTAATTTGAAAAACAAAAAGGTCTATTTTTTTTAAAGAGAGAGAGAATGAGAGAATTTTTTAAATATTTTTTAGTTCTTGGCAGACACAACATCTTTGTTGGTATGTGGTGCTGAGGATCGAACCCAGGCTGCACGCATGCCAGGCGAGCGCGCTACCGCTTGAGCCACATCCCCAGCCCAAAAAGATCTATTTTTAATAATTATTTTTCTTCTCTTAAATTTCTTTCAGTGCCTTTTTAGTGCGTGGATTTCAGAAAAAGAAGATGCAATGAACAAGATTCAAACAACTGGTTTTAAGGATCAAAATGAAATGTTATCAAGTCTTCAAAAAATGGCTGTATGTATATTTTAGCCTTCAGTAGTCTTTTAAAAACTTCATAATATATTATTACCATTTTTTGGTACTTTCTATCAAGTCTGAAAGGAAATGTGCATCTTTTTTGCTTAGTTTATTCAAAGATGGCATATGTTACTATTTAAAATGGGGAAATCTGTACATAGATTTTCACATTTGCTTTTCAAACAAAATTGTGCTCATGAAAAAATAAGTATACCTATAATAAAACTTTATTTAAAACATAAAAAGTAATACTAAGAAGTATTTATAAGCTAAGAGTTCTAAGCATCATCATTGTAAACTGATAAAGTTCATACTCAGAGTAATATACAAGAAGTATAAGAGATGATTATTATCACATACATGGGTTAAACCTTATTTTGACCAAAAAGAATAATTAAATGACATTCATTATATGTACCTCATGTGTTTTGAGAAATTATATGACATTGGCAGTAACATGACTCCAGGGAAACCTTCATTGACACATTTGGTTTCATTTGAACAAGATTAAAAAAAATAGAACTCTACAACTTCTTGATCTTTTGGAATTTTATTTCTTTCCAGGAAAGGAGAGGTCAATCTAATATTAGGAACTTAAATTACTAAGTAGAATATTCTAAATTAGAATTTATTTACATTTTAGATAGATCAATTTTGTGAAATGCTAACTTGTTATTAGCTACTTAAGAAACAAAATTCTATTATAATAGTTCATGATTTTACCTAAATTAATATACTTTTATTTGTATTGATATTAGATATTATACTTACATTGATGCTTGAATAATTTCTTTAAAGCTAAACTTAAATAAATTTCCCTGGTTATTTTAAATATGTGACATTTTACCAAATATTTATTTGCATTATATTTTTTTGTTCCATATGTACTGATACTCATTGGGCATTTAATTTAAAATAGGTTTACTTATTGTTACGAGTTAGCTTTTACATAAATCATGGGTCAAAGAATAGATGCTTTTGAAGTGATGCAATGCCTATGGAGTTCAGAAAAGTAGTTTATTTATGTAGTGGAAGATAAGTAAAAAATGTTAGATATGTTTAAAAACTTCTTCATCAACTGATGGGGGCCATTGAGAGATTGAAACAATCATATTTATCTTTTTGTAATACTCTTTGGTAGTAATATTTCTGGTAGTAAGGAGATTAATTAGAAATTTTGAACTAAGTAGCACTGTAAGTGAGATAAGAAGGGAGACATGACAAATGTTGATGAAATGAATAAAACTTTCCATAAGAAAGAGAGAGATCAAAAATGATACCTATACTTCTAAATTGGGTGATTAGAGTCCTAGAAAGGTTAGTAGACTTAAGAGGAAAATGGATGAGAAATATTTAGAAGGCAAAAATGATAATTATTTGAGTTTTGATAATATTGAGTCCAAAATGTCTTTGGGACATCCAAGTGAAAACATTCATTTCTTTAGCCAACTGGATATATATATACCAGACTCTCGATAATGAATTCATAACTAGATAACTAAGTAAGAGAGAAGATTCAGGGAGAATTTTATAGAGTGACACAATAATTAAGAGGGACAAAAACTGAGGGTGCTTCTCAGGTCGGAAAGAAGGGACAGAGGACAAGAAGCTCACAAAGTAGATTTGATTAATTCAAATAATTCATGGTACAAGAGGGAGGAAAAGAGTGGTATTACAAAATGAGAATATTTTACACAGGTAGAGAGTAGTACACACTGTCATATGCCACAGAGAAGAAAATATAAATTCAGGGACAATTTTTAGCATATCTAGGGGAAAGGATAGTTGGGCTACATATTCTTAAAATATGGAATTTTTTTTGAGAGAGAGAGAATATGAGAATTTTAAAAATATTTTATTTTTTCAGTTTCGGCAGACACAACATCTTTCTTTGTATGTGGTGCTGAGGATCGAACCTGGGCCGCATGCATGCCAGGCGAGCGCGCTACCGCTTGAGCCACATCCCCAGCCCTAGAATATGGAATTTTGGCAAATATTATTCTTCTTGAGCAATATATGGATCCTTTAAGTCAATATTATGGTGAACACTGATTATCAACATATAGTCATGCTGTCTAACTCAGAACCAAGCTATACTGCTGTTCAAATGCAGAACCATAGTTAATCATAATGGAAATGTAAAAGCCTCATTCAATTGTAGTCTCCATTAATATAGGCACTCTGCCCCTTTGTTTACAATTGTATCCTTAATGTTAAGAATGGTGACTTACACAAAGTAAACCTTCAAGAAATATTTACTTGATAGAACTTGTCAGGGAAACCTCATCTTCACAAGGATGAGAGATCAAGAAATACACAATGGGCAGACTTTTTAAAAGGCAACACTTAGTTGTTCTTCCAGTTAACTATTGCTGTTTAACAGATACTTTAAAAGTTTTAGCTTAAAATGAACTTTTTATTATGTTCATGGATTTTGTTGGTCAGTAATTTAGAGGACATACAGAGAGAATGGCTCATCTTTGTTTCACAATTGTGGGACTTGACTGGATTGCCTACATGACTGGACTCTAGAATCATCTGAAAGTGTTCATTCACTCATACAATCAGGCTCCTGTGTTGGATGCTTTGACTTCTGGAGCTGCTCACCAAAACATGTTCCCTTGGACTTCTCATGTTGTTTGGCCATATCACAGCATGGAGGCCTAAATTAGTTAGAATTCACAAATGGAGACTAAGGACTCAAAGCAGCATTATTTCTGTAAACCAAACTTAAACTTCATATAGCGTTAATACTACCATACTCTTCTGGTAGAAATAAACATAAGCCTGCTTAGATTCAAGGGAGAGGAAATAGTATTCCATATCTTCTTGGAGAAGCACCAAGGTCAAATCACAGTAGAGCATCTTGAATAATTTTTTTTTAAATAACCATATCTGGAAAATACCACATGCTAAAAACATTTTGTGATAATAAATTCATAATTTCACTACATAGTGCAGGTTGCTATGTAAATCAATGATTAAATTTACCAATCAAGAATGTTGATCTTAGGAAGCAACATATTGACAAAATCCAATTATAGTAAAACTAGAAGGAACTTTGAAAATGATCTAGCTTATCTCTGATCCAATTACAAGTCTAAAGTTCCTTGGGATCAGCTACTCAGGTTATGTCTAAAGAGGAAAATGAGGTCCAGAAAGAAACATATGGCATATACCAGTTATTATATAACATTAGTAGCAGAGTTAAAAGGAGCACTAAGACATCCAGATTCTAGCCCAGGCCTTTCAACCCATTTTAAAACTCCTCATATCATTTGATTTCTTAGAAAAAATTAACCGCAATTGAGAACTCTCATTTCTAACAATCAATTGCCGCTATTTGGACATTTTCACTACTAAAAGATTTTGTCATCCTCGGAACCATGAAGAGTCTCTCTTAGCAAAATCTCAATAATTTTTCAATATGATTAAAATTCACACTATGTCACCTTAGTTGTGAACAAAGTAAAAATATGTTTTGTATAAGTCTTACCATTTGATAGTTAAGCCAATTAACAAAACCTGACAGCTGGTCTAGAATTTGAGGTAAAATTCCCCTGCTGACTCAGGCAGTGAATAAGAATTTAATGTTCATTAAAATATGTCACAGTCTAAGACCCAAAACAGATACCATCTGTCACTCATTTCTACTATATACCTGAGTATAGATACTGTAGCTAAAACTCTTTTATTTACGATCACAGTAATTTGTTTTAAAATATTATTATTAATAACCCATGGGATTGCCTCCTATTTTTCACTAGGAATGTGAGGTAAGGAATTTGATATGCCATTTCTTCTAGATCTGTGGGATTCATATCCATGACATGTAGATCTATTATTTTTATGATTAGATCTATTTTGGAGGGTGTAAAGGAGACAAAGGAGAAAAGAAACTTTGGCCTTTAAGAGGTGAATTAGAAGACTTACAGAATCATGTAAGTTATAGGAAGACCCAAATGCAGAATACGTCTGTTTCTGTAGAATGTTGGTATTGCTAAAGAAGGATAACTCTGGGGAAGCATGGTGATCTAGGAAAGATAAAACAGATAATAATATTAAACACATAAAGAATTATATCCAGTGTAATAAAAATATGTCTTGGCACTATTCTCTGAGGCATACTACTTATGATAATAGAGTGAATATTTCCTGGGTCTTTTGTAAGTATACATTATTTTATTCACTCCAATTAATCTTCTAAACTTGACCAGAAAAAACTTGTCTATTTTTGTCTTATTGAACAAGTTATCTTTCTCTTCTTTATATCCTACTGACCCAGTCTGATTTATTAACTGTAGCTTCCTTCTATATAAGGGCTATGGCAATACTGTACTCTTTACTGGCTGTGGAATCAAGTGACAGGGTTAGAGTGCTTATGGGAATTCAACAAGTCCCTGTTGATAATGCTCATCTCCTGTAATGGCCTTCAAAGAATTTATACACTTAGAATCGGTGTTTTATAAAGTGTGATCCCCAGACCAGCAGCATAAACATTACCTGGAAACTTATGAGAAATGCAAATTTGTTTGCATTCAAAAACATTTTTTAAAAAGATAGTGTGCGATGATCAAATGGGGTTCATCCCAGGGATGCAAGTTTGGTTCAACATATGGAAATCAATAAATGTAATTCCTCACATCAATAGACTTTAAAGACAAGAATCATATGATCATCTCAATAGATACAGAAAAAGCATTTGACAAAATACAGCATACTTTCATGTTAAAAACACTATAGAAACTAGGGATAGTAGGAACATACCTCAACATTGTAAAAGCTATCTGTGCTAAATCCAAGGCCAATATCATTCTAAATGGAGAAAAATTGGAATTATTCCCTCTAAAAACTGCAACAAGACAGTTCTCCACTTCTATTCAACATAGTTCTTAAAACTCTAGCCACAGCATTTAGACAAAAGAAATTAAAGGGATATGAACAGGAAAAGAACTCAAACTATCATTATTTACTGACGACATGATTCTATATTTAGA